TAAATGTTTTATTTATTAACCAATAATACGAAAAATATTTCTGACTATAAATGAAAAAGATGTCGACAACAATAAAGTAGTTTCTCGAATAACTCGTAAATCGAAATACGTGTGGTAGACTTGCGAACGTGCATTAGCGTTTCAGGGTATACCGGACGACTTGAATAATTACTCCGATGGCAATTCATAGCGTTCGCGTAGCATCTCTACAAAGGAGGCCCTTCCCGCGTTTCTATTCCTCTTACACCCTTATGCGTAATACATATACCTACGTAAAAGAAGACACACATATATATATATATATATAAATATATCTACAAATACACACACACACACACACATATATATATATATATATATATTTATATGTATACAGAGATGATAGTGTTGTATAAGACACATATACTAATACAGTATCAGCAAGGAGAGCTTTTGCATTTGCGTCTTGCCCACACAATTTACAACTCACCATCGTCTGCCCTTACAAACTACAACAACTAAAAAAACTACTACTACCACATTACACTGCCATAGTCTTTCTCTCTTTTTCCTATTCCCTTAACTTCCCTTCGTTTCGTCTTCTCTCCTCATACTCACTAGTTTCTTTCGAGCTTTCTTTTCCACTGTAATACCCTTCTCCTATACACCCACTGCCTCTTTCTATTTCTTTAGTGGAAAACGTAAAAATGTCTCTCATTTTTTCTTCTTCTTATTTTCCTCCTTCCTTTCTTCTTTATTTCACTCTCTCTCTCTTTCTCTCTCTGTTTTTTTGAGAACACTCACTTACATAGACTTGCATATATATTCTTTACGCGTGTTTGCGTATACGACGTTTATAGGTGGACAAAAAGAAGAGAAAAGTGGGTGGGTAGGTTGAGGAGGAAGAGGAGGAGGTGGTAGAAGTTGTGGTCGTTCGTTGAGAACGCGCTTTAAAGCGACGTCTATGAAGAAAAGAAGGAAGTGAGGAATGTCAAAGAGAAAGAGAAAGAGAAATAGAAATAGGTGGTAGAAGAAGGTGGTGGGACGATGATGTCGAGAGTGTATTGCGGTTTTTTGACGAAGGAGCTTTCTTCTTTACTCGCGACTAAGGCGTTGGTAGTTTGATAACTATAGTATAGCGTGTCGACCACGTGGATACAATACTACCACCTCCACCTCCTCCTACTCCTCTTCCTCCTCCTCAGGAATATATGAGGAATATATCCATACGCTTGTACAACGAGAACGTGCATAAAAAAAAAAAAAGAGAAGAAGAAGAAGAAAAAAAGAAAACAAAGAGAAGTTGTCGTCGATGAGGACAAAACTTCTCTTCTTCGTCCGTAACTATGAAGGGTATGGTGGTAAAAGAGAAAGACAGAGTGAGAGAGAGAGAGAGAGAGAGGGGTGGGGAGGAAAGAAAAAGAAAAAGCTCTGACGACGGCCATTTGTAAATCACACCGCAAAAGTACGTGAATTCTGTGGAGATTTTTACCTCGTTTTTTTTTTCCTTTCTTTCTTTCTTAGCGTTTTAAAAGAAAGAAAGAAATAAAAAGAGTGTGTATGGGAGAGTGAGAGAGAGGCGCATGCGTAAAAGAAAAGAAAAGAAAAAAAAATATATAAGAAAGTAGAAGAAAGCTTGATACAAGCTGGTGTCTAATACGTGAGCTCTTAAGAAAATATGTTTTCCCACGTTCGACGGTATAGTTCTTGGTCTAAATCGTGACAATAAACACAAGGGACTATGATGTTTGAGTTACTACGACTACGACTACGATGACGTTCGCATTCTCGTTGTTTTTCAAACACATTACTGGCATAACTCAGATGGACGTCTGAAAACGATGAAGAGTGAATAACGTTCTAAAGAGAGAATTCGCTTTTCAGATATGCCGAGCCAGGTGTCTTCATTCTTTATTTCTTTATCTCTATCATCTTCGTATAAACCCCCCGTCCCCTTCACTCCCTTAGCCACCCCTTTCCACACTAGCCCGAACCCCCTTTCTTCTTTTTCTTCCTTTTCTTTTTCTTCTTCTTCTTTCTTTCTTTCTTTCTTTCTTTCTTTCTTTCTTTCTTTCTTTCTTTCTTCTTCTTCTTCTTCTTCTGAAACGCCCATATCCTTTAGTAAATTTTCGAGAAAGAGTTTCGCGAGAAAAGCTGAAAACGCGTGAATCTGCTCGGCGCATCTAGGTCGAGACAACTGTTATCCATTGGATCGTAAAATATTCGAGTTGGTTCTGTGCTTCATTGTTCATTCCTTTCAACGTACCCCATCAACCATATTTTTATATATCTCTATATATATATGTTCTTTCCATATCATAATTATTTTCAATAATATTCGTATAGGTTTGAGAATCAAATTAAAACGATTCATTTCGCTCGAAATATTATTGTACGTTTATATGGATTTCATTTGAAAACCTTATATAATGTTATACTGTAGTGAATCTGAATGCGAGTTGTGAAAACCATTCGGATGATAATTCTGTACGTTAAAATTAATGATAAAGAAGGAACGATTTTTTTTAATTTTAATATTATTTTAATAAAACAGATTTATATGATCAGGATTATCATTGTAATTGCAATGTCTTTTATAAATCTATTTAAATGATAATAACTTTGATATCATTGTTCAATCATTTGGAGGATAATTATATACGTTAAAATCAGTGAAAAAGAAGGAACGTATTCTTGACAATTTTGAAAAATTTTAATATCATTTTAATAACATAGATTTATGATCAGGATTATCACTATAATTGCAATGTCTTTTGGAAATTTTTTATTTGCATAGTAATAACTTTGATATCGTATTTTTAACAATTTTTGTTCAATTTAATGTCATTTTAATAAAACAGATTTATGATTAGGATTATCATTATAATTGCAATTTTTTTTGGAAATCTTCTATTTAAATGATAAATTGCAAATTATTGTTCAATTATTCGGAGCATAATTCTGTACGTTAAAATTAGTAAAAAAAAAAGGGAACGTATTTTTAACAATTTTTTCAATTTTAATATCATTTTAATAAAGAAAATTTATGATTAGGATTTTCATTACAATTGGAATGTCTTTTGAAAATCTTTTATTTAAATGATAAATTGCAAATTATTGTTCAATCATTCGTAGCATAATTCTGTACGTTAAAATTAGTAAAAAAAAAGGAACGTATTTCTAACAATTTTTTAAAGTTTTAATATCATTTTAATAAAACAGATTTATGATCAGGATTATCACTATAATTGCAATGTCTTTTGGAAATTTTTTATTTGCATAGTAATAACTTGGATATCATTATTTAACCATTCGGGAGATAATTCTGTACGTTAAAATTAGTAAAAAAAAAGGAACGTATTTTTAACAATTTTTTCAATTTTAATATCATTTTAACATCACATATTTATGATTAGGATTATCATTTTAATTGTAATTTTTCTTGGAAATTATTTGCATTGTAATCACTTGGAAATCAATGTTCGTAATTTTTGATTGCTGATGAATACGTTCTTGTTACAATACGATTAATAAAAATAGAAAAATGAATAGTAGATGTAAGTCAATCGGTTGAAAACCAAATGTAAACATTGCAGAAAGTATCGAAGTGAAAAAAATAATTTTGTTATTGTTAAAATAATTGAAGTGATTTCTTTTTATTATATTTTTCTTTTCTTCTCTCAATCGATGAGAAAAAACTTGATGTTTTACTGCATCATTTTCTGCATCGTTTTTATTTATTGATATTATTTCTATGCATATAAATAAAAATTTTAAAGTCGGATTTGAAAGCACTAATAATAAATTAAATACATTATATAATTATTAGAATTAATCTAAATGGATTGAATTATAAGGGAAACAATTATATTCTATTTAAATCATCGATTATAACTTATGAAATATTTGGTTGGGATTCACACGAGTATTTCATTGGATTCTGTAATTAATAATTACATCGGAAATTCATCAATGTTATCTCATGTCATTTACCGTGCTAGAAATTATTTGAAAGAATTCTTTCATTATTTCAAATCGTTCGACTATTATTCGTTTGAAATATCAACGACGTGTGATTATCGAATTTTATAAATCCGATGATTGGAAGAATTCGTGTCCCACTCTCTTTCTCTTTCTATGTATAATATATAATATAATGCATACATATTATATTGTAGAATTATTTCAATCAATTGAGAAGAATCGTATTACAAGACATTCGATATAATTATATTATATCAACGAGAAAGAATGAATATATTCAATACTGGATAGATTACTTGTCACTTAGATCAGTTTACATATGAAATCTATGAGGAATACACGAATACATTGAATACTATTAATTAACGTATACGTATATCACTTACAATATTCCATTTCATTGAGTTCAATCAGGAAAAGAAACAATGATATTTAATCGCGTGATAAAAAAGAAAAGGAAAGATTGAGAAATCAATTAAAAATATTTGTTTTGTCTCTTACAAAATATCATTGACTGTGAGTACTGGCCTTACTTGTATTTCTCATTAAATTTTCCTTATCAAGCAAATACGTTTTTACAATGAAATACTATTAATTAATAACTCCCTCGAGAGTAGAGAAAAGGAACGAGACAGAGGTAGGGTGAGAAATGAGGGATGGGGAGGGAATTGAATAGAATGTCACGAAGTGAAACGAAAGCTGTATTAGTTTCACTAAGTATTTCGACTCTTTCTTCATTTCTCGAAACTTCAAAGTAAGAAACTTTGATTCTTGATAGGATAATACCATAGAAAAGACGAACATAAAAAGAAAACATACAATTGTATATATATAAATATATATACTATGATGTTCTTTTTTAAATTGACTGACATTTAGACAAAATGACAGTAAATACGAAAAACCCTGTAATCAATTTTACTTACTGTTACTTTCCTTGTAATTGACGTAAAGCTGTTGATTAGATGTTAACACGATAAAAAAAGAAAATGCATTAATTTTACTAACACCTATTATTATTTTTCATCGTTTCATAGGTGGCGTGGCTTCGTGTGGACACGCAGACAATACTAACGATAGCGACTCACGTTATTACAAAGAATCATCGAATCGGAGTGACCCATAGTGGACATCGTACGTGGTCTCTTCACATCAGAGAAGCAAAAGAAACTGACAGGGGTTGGTACATGTGCCAGGTTAATACCGATCCAATGTCCAGCATCATCGGATTCCTCGAAATAGTTGGTAAAATACGACGTTTAAATAAAAACATTTAGTTAAAATAAAACACAATTAGCCAGAATCTTGAAACAATTTCAATAGAAAAAAAAAAAAAAAATTCATCGTTGCTAAAAATGTTTCCGAGCACTTTTGACTAGTAAAAGAAATAAAATAGGTCAAAGAAAAATAAGAGAGAATAAAAAAATACTTCCGTACTAAGTTTATAGTAGATAGGAAGAGTGAAAAGATCAAATTATAGGAATCAAAGGTATATTCAGAGTTTTTGTTGAGCAAATTTTGATCAGGGATCTGTTCAACGATTGTCCTATGGTACACGTGTCAGAGGAACATTCCCCCTTTCTTCCACATAGCCATACATCAACCGATCCTTCCTTCGAAACTTTCTTAGCAGTAGTTGGTGCTGCGGCGACCCTTCTTCGTCGTTGCCGAGCCCCAGGAACTTGTCAAACTTCAGTGAATACGATCCCCCATACCTTAACGGTGCATCCCTTCTAGGTAACTTTGGAAAATCCGTGATCTTCGTTCGTTGAGACACGGGATGCAATATTTAACGACGGTATATTTGCATCCTAGTAGTAGTGAGACATTTTCTTTACGATTACTTTTCATTTCTTTTACTTATTTTTTTTTTTTTAATTTCATTTTTTTAATTTCTTTTTCTTTTCCTTTAGTGTTTTCACTCGAAAGCTTTTGACGAAAACGAAGGACAAACTTCCTCTATGAGTCCCGTAGGAAACTTTCCAACAAAGATCTTCGAGTGGCTAGCAAAGATAAAGACACGTAGGTATCCGCAAAATCTCGGCACCGTTGTTACTTCAGTTACCTATCCAACCCTCCTCCCCTCCTACTCCTCCTCCGACCGGATACGTGACGATGGAATGCAAATGTATGTAAAGTGTGTGGCTCGCGCCGAAAACCTTCAACGGTCGATTGTACTCTTAGTGGGCCATTAAAACACCTTCTCGACTACTACACTCTAACATTCTCAACCCTCATTTGTTCTATCTCCTATCTCCATCTTTCTCTCACTTTTTTTCTTCCTTTTTTTTTTTTTTTTTCTTTGACTCTTTAACTAACCGACTTAATAACCAACCTCTTTCTTCAGTTTCAAGAGGAGATCCTTTCCGAGTGTTCGATGACCGTTTTAAACGACGATGCCATCGTTTACCATTTATTTACTTTCTTTCTCTCTCTTCTTTCTTTTTTCTTACATTTTATTATCATCATCCCTTTTATCGTGTCTGAAATTTAATTTATTATCGAAAGTTATGTGTAATATTTTATAGTATTATTATATTTCTTATTCAGTTATCGATGAAAATTATTCGAATTATTTTGTATTATAAAATTGATTATAAATGGAGAAATTTACTATTTGAAATTTTAATTACAATTTCTTTGCAAATAATTTATAAAATATTTGGAATATTTAAATTATATTAATACTTTAATATATATTATAAATATATATAAATATTTTATATTAATATAAATATATAATAATTATAATATTAATTTATTTATATTATAATAAATATATATAATATAATATATTAACCCTTTGCACTCCGTAAGCGCTGTTATTGCGCCAATTGCTATCTATTATATTTATATAAATATATTTTTTATTTATAATATTTATATTTATATTATTTTATTAATATAATATAATATTTAAATAAATATATTTTAAAATTATATACTATAATGTTAATATTTTATTATTATAATATAGTATTAATTAAATTAATATTAATTTAATTAATATAATATAAATATAAATTATATAATATAAAATTAAAATTTTTTTTTTTAAATGATTTTAAAATGATAAAAAAAATTATTTTTTATATAAAATAATTTATATTATTGTTTTAATATAATAAAAATAAAAATTTTATTAAATATATTTATATTTAAATATAAAAATAACTAACTATTACTATAAGTAATTATAATTACTTATAGTTATAAGTAATATAATAATATTGTATATATTACATATGTGTGATATGTAATATCAAATTTTAACACTCGGAGTGCAAAGGGTTAAATAATTTTAATAATTAATTAAAATATTAATTATTTATTTTAAATATATATATAATGCAATGTTTTATTATAATATATATTAATTGAATATATGATGTATAAATATATTTAATAATAATAGTATTTAAAATAATCGATAATTTCAGTCAAGAAATTATTTTTATCTCAATTTTGTTTTTTTGTTCTATCTTTCATCTTATATTTTCTTTTATTTCTACTCGCATCAAGTACATAGTTTCCGTAAGTTTTCGGAACAGAGAGAACAACCGGAGTTCTCGCGAAATCGCGACGCGTGGCGGAGTGCTCAAACTTTGAAAATCTCGTCGACTTTCGTCTTTCATTTTTAATTCGTACTTTCTTAACGAACGAGATAGACTTCTTCTCGTACATTTTGGGTCAACGGAGAAACTGAAGAAATTTGAAGATTTTCGTAGAACCTAATTCTTCTTTTTTTTTTTTTTCTTACTAAGAGTGGTGGGAAAGAAAAAAAAATCTTTACAAATTTCCTCTATACACTCGTTTAGTATTTTTCTCTTAAATTTCATTTCTATTAAAATTTTTCATTATAATATTGTTTAAAAAAATTCTTCATTTAAAATTACACGAATGCTATTTCAATTTAGTTATTTTTAATATATCCGTTAGGATGTATAGTTGAAGAAAGGAAGGAGGTGCCGAGCAGCGTGTATAATCGTAAAGCTCGTGGCTTATCTCGTAACAACAGCCATTAAATACTCTCCATTATCGTACTGTACTATTACTTACAATTAGTCGAGTAGCTTGTCGTTCGCACGAAGTCACCTATTTTGAGGTCTCTCTCTCTCTCTCTCTCTCTCTCTCTCTCTCCCTCTCTCCTTCTCTTTCTCTTTTTATCTTTTTACTTTTTCACCTTTCCTTTCATTTTCTCTTTCTTACAATTCGATCAAATCGATCCATCCCGCATTTAGGGTCACGTTGATAAAGCATCACTCTTACGAGTTTAACCACTCTGAGATTTATCTTCAGGCACATTCGAATTATCTTTCTTCGTCTATTACAAAGAAAGAAAGAAAGAAAGAAAGAAAGAAAGAAAGGAAACGTCACGTGGCGTTATCCAAGAAACTCTCGGTCCATCATTCCCAAGAAGCATTTAAAAAGAATCGAGTGTGTCTTTCTTCTTAACCAAACGTAATTCTTCTCACCTGATCGATTATCAATAAAAAAAATAATCAAAAAAAAAATTACAAAAAATAAAAAAGACCAAAAAAACAGCCGATTTATCTTCTTCTTCTTCTTATCTGAAAAACAGCACCAAACATTGGTCCTATTATCATTTGACGATAACAAGACTAAAAGTGTAGATGGTAGTTTTCGTTTATCGTAAAACCATCTGCAAGCAAGCAAACAAGCAAGCAATTCGAGAACATACGCAAAAAAAAAATAGAACAAACAAGAAGAAAAAGGGTAAAGATATGCACATAAAACGTAGGACACAAGGAATATGAGTGGGAATAGTAAAAAGGTGATAGGGGGTGAAGTTGAAGTGTGTGTATTCGGAAAAGACCCCTACGTGAAATATTAAATCCGTAAGCAATTGTTTCTCTGTATCAATAAATATACTTTCCACTGGATACGTCGGTTGTTTTTTTTTTTATTATTTTTCTTTTTTCTATTTCTCTTCTATGTTATTTTCTTCTCTCTCTCTCTCTGTCTGTAGTCCCTTTTTATTATTATTATTTTTTGTTTTTGTTGAAGCCGGTTTGCACACGTTCGTAAAGGCCAGAATGGATTGCCCAGTCGAGTGATACCTCGGCGATATTTGCGATATTCGTGGAATATTTCGTATAGAGTCTATCGTTGCACTGTGTCCATCGATGCACAGTTAGTCTGTCAGTCACTCAGTCAGTCAGTCAGATCATCGATGGATAAAACGAACGCTTTTTCCTTTGGTACCTGAAGAGCCAACGTTTTGAGTAAACTCTTTGAAAAAAGATACTGTTCTCTCTTTCACATATACAAACACATACGTTCTGTGTCTTTCTCTGTTTCTCTTTTGCGTATGACTCTTTTTCTCGCTTTTGTCAACGCGTAAGTTAACGCGGGTCCGTTACCGCTAGGAAAAGCCTTCGTTCGAGTCCTCTTCTTCTTTTTCTTATTTCTTCTCTTCTACTTCTTCTTCTTCTTCTTCTTCTTCTTTCTTCTTCTTTTGGTTGACGACGAGGAGAAGCTATTTGCCTTCCGAACACGTCTTCCGTAACTCAGAGGGAGGACTCGGCTCACGATGTTCCGTTCTTGGAAGAGTAGGAGATGGAAGAGAGTATGAGGGGCTTGCTAAAGGGAGGGATAAGGGAAAAAAGAGAACCTAGAAGCTATTCAGAAAAGGGTAGCCTCCTTCGTGACGGGGGAGAAGTTGCTCACTGAGAGAACTGTTGAAAACCGTACGTAGTAGTAGCCCCTAGTCTTCTTTTTATTCTTTTTCTTTTTCTTCTTCTTCTTCGTCCTCTACACTGTAACATGTTTTCTTCCTTCTTTTTTTTTCCTCTTTCCCTTTTTACCTCTCCTCTTCATACTCTCAGTTACCAGACTGCATGTCTACCGGCCATATTCGGCTACATTTCTTCCGAGTGAAAAGCAACTCGATAACGGAATTCCTTACACCGTATTCTTTGTCCTTGTTATTGTTGTTGATGTTGTTTTAGAAGAATGAATTTCGTTTCTCGAAAGAATTGTAAAGTTGTACAGTTTTCTTTAGAAGGAAGTTTGTTTTGTCGTTTATCTTATCAAAATGATTGTGATTTGTTTTAATATATGATTATTATTGCTTGTTAAAATTGTTCAAATGTAGGAATAGGAAATTTCATACAAATTATTATCAAGTAAATAAATCAATTAATTAATCTTTAGAGTATTATCGACGCATATACGTGTTTGTTAATATTAATGTAAAATATAATGTAATGTTTATATTAATTAATTAAATTATATTCGGAAAGAAAAACTTGAATTATTAAATATAATTTATTATTAATAAATTATTCCATTCCTACGAAACATTTTAGTTAAAATTATTCAGCACACAAAGGGTTAATTATTTAAATGATAAACTTTTCTTTGTTTAATATAATAATTGTATATATTAACTAATTTTTAATTTTTAAAAAGAGACACTTTTATTCATGCTAATTCACACGCATAAATAATAATCTTAAAAAAAAAAAAAACAAATCCAATCATCCTTCATACACGTGTGAAGTGTTAAATATTGAAATTGTTGATGACAATGAATAATTATGACGAATTACTGAAGTTTATCAAAAAATCTTATTAACATAATTTTCCAAGGGATAATTGGTTGGAAAGTTTTCGATGTATAGTAAAAGCTAAATTTTCATTTTGATCTTCTTAGAAGAAAGTTTTCTAGTCTACGGGAAGTAAACGTCTATCAAGATGATATTATCTTAGTAATGATGTTATAGATAATATATAACTAGAACATTTAAATTTTTTTTTTTTTATTATTATTTCCAATATGAAGTCACTTTACGAGCTCTTATTTCTTATGAAAGAGAGAACTCTTCTTACGATCTTATTCTTGAAGCTTACCAAAACTTGTAAGAGAAATGCATCCTGCATCCATTGGTATGTACGTGACCACGACGTGAAAGGAGATCAACTAGAATGTTATTGAAACGAAAGTTTACATATGTTTGAATCTATGTTAAAAGAACAACCTTCCTTTCACACACACACCCACACACACGTACAAATGCATTTACGTCCAAACTTTGAACAATAACGTAAATTAAATAAAAATGATATTAGAATACAGTGATTTCGGATTTATACAATTGAAAATTAATTTGTAAATTATTATTAATATCACAAATTTAAGTTTGCAATATATTATATATAAATATATAAAGCTTTAGAGATTGAAATTTTTTGTCGGTAAATGTACTATTCAATTTCAAAAGTCCGTTCAAAAGTGGCAATGATTTCCGATTTTAGAAATCAATCGTCTATTGCATTGCTTCACAAAGGATATACACTCGTGGCCCCCTACGGGCAAACTACATCGAACCGCGAATATTTCGGGCTGTTTTGAAATGCAACGGCACGTTTCATTCGAGAATCTACTTCAAAAGAATACTCGACGATCGACAAACGAACGAATACGCGCACAACTCATATCTTTCTCTCTCTCTCTCTCTCTTTTTTTGTTTCTTTTTATACACACATTTGGTAAGCCTACTTTTACCCCTTTTTATATTCATACATCGTTATTTGGGATCTAGCTCGCGTTGTTTGTGATTGATAAAATAATATATAATACTTTTTTCTTCTCTCTATTTTTTGCTTTCTTTCGGTCTCTTTCTTTTTCACTTTTACACACTGTGTAAGAAAATTTCATGAACGTTATAATTAAACATTTCCGAGATAATCTAAAATACTTTAACAAACTTAATCCCATTACTCGGCTTCTTATAATCGAATCTTCGACCCTATTTCCGTGTTCTTTCCTGAAAATTTCGAAAACAGAATTAGGATCGAAAATATAAAATAAGGTGCTGAGAAGGTTATCCTAAAATTAGCGAAGATAAATCCGATAGTAGCTCGTGCCAAGTTAATTCAATTTAGTTGTAATACTTGTTATACGTATTTTGTATTTAGAACTGCTAACAAAAAAAATGAATAAAGAAATGGATAACAAACGAAAGAATACAAAAATAAAAATAAAATAAAACAAACCAAAAAATAAAAAAGAAAGAAAGAAAAGAACATAACCTAAAAACTTTCGTAAGAGTACAGAGCAATGTGAACGTAACCTAAAAACTAGCGTAAGAGTATAGAGCAATGTTTTTCAGTAAAAACAAAAAAAAAAAAAAGAGAAACAAATTTGAGATCAGACCAACGATTCGAGATTTTACGATGAGATCGTTCGTGTACGGGACAGCTAGGCATGAGAGAGTAGTATTCGTGGATGATACCCAGGTTGAACTACAACCCTTTCCTCTTGATGCTAGCTAGCTACTCTTCCTATAGAATCGTGTAGGTAAACGTTGCGAGAAGAGGAGGTGGAAGAGGAGGAAGAGGAAGAGGAAGAGGAATAGGGTGAGGAGGAAGAGGGTGGTAATAGTGATCGGGTAGTATCGAGATAACCATCTATTCGAACGAAGGCTCCGTGTTCGTGTTCGTGCTCGCGTACGAGAGCAAGCAAGCAAGCAAGCAAGCAAGAGAAGGGAAGAGGAGGAGATGGAGGAGGAGAGGGAGGAGGAGGAGGAGGAGGATGTTTCCCTTTTCGCAATGTGGTCATTGTTTCAGTACCTCCGGATATCCTGGACTATCCCACCAGTACGGACATGGAAGTGAGGGAGGGTAGCAACGTGACGCTGCGGTGCGAAGCGACAGGAACACCGAAGCCTACGGTCTCGTGGCGTAGGGAGGCAGGCGGCACGATCACCCTACCCAACTGGCACGAGGGTAGGTATTTATTTTCGCCAAAAGGACTCTGACCGCCACCACCACCACCACCACTACCTTCCGTCACCTTCCACCCAATTTACCGTACCTCACCGACCTATCGACATTTCTATCTTCTTTCCTTCTCTTTCTTTCATTCTATTTCTCCCTTGGTCCCTTTTTCTTCTTCACTTTATATTTCCGCTCGTTTGCTCCCAGCCACCTGCTATCGTCGTTTTTCCTCTTCATCCCCTACGTATATATATATATATATATATTCCAGTTACGTTCCCCCTATTGAACGTCCCAATCGACGTTTCGATTTTCCTAATAAAGCTATCTACGACGACCGTGTTAAGTGCTGACTTCGTTACAATCCCGTTTCTTTCACTAAAGTGGATACTTAAAGTGAATTAATAGGATATATATATATATTTATTGAATCAAAATTCTTTTGTTAAAGAAAATCTACTTTCTTCTATTTTATAAAGGACAGAGAGAGAGAGAGAGAGAGAGATTCGATCTTTCTCGACCTTGCCTTCTAAGATAATTACTTGTACAAGAAATCATTTTCTATAGGACGTAACGTATTCTAGCTAGGAAGAAGATTGAGATCTCATTTAAGAGAAGATCTAGAAACAAGGACACACACAACCAGGTCTGTTCTATCACTATACGATATCATTTTCTTCGAGCATCTCGTTATCTAGATAATCTTGAATCGCGTGCACAGTTTGGATCGTGTGGATCGTAAAGGATTTCGAAGATGAGAGAGTGAGAGAGTGAGAGAGAGAGAGAGAGTATATGTTGAAGCTTATCGATCACTGTGTTGTGAACTATGTGTCGAAAATCGATCGGGTTTGCTAGCCGTGCTTTATCTGACGAGTATCAGTTGGTTAGATCGACTAGAAGGGTGCTCGAAACTCTTAATTTATCAAAGCGGTCTATTATCCGAACCTTTTACCTCTTAATTGCCGTTCTATCTCGTGATACTCTAACTCACTATCTTTCCTTTTATATTTTTTATTTTCTCTCTTTCTCTTTAACTTTAACTTTTAACAGTTGATGTCATCCGATTCTTTCTTTCTTTCTCTTTCCTTTTTATTTTCTGTTTGATGATCGTTCAGACCATAGAACCTACGTTAACTAATTGCACATGGTAGGACTAAGGACAATCCGTATTGTATGATCCTAAAGTTCTGACCCTTTTTCCGTTTCCATTCTTTTTTTTTCTCTCTAATCGTTCACGCTTCCTTCCGCTTGGGAAAACCTCCCCCTCACCCCCAACTACCCCTCTCCACCTCAACGAATTCTTCCCTTAAACTGGGCGTCCTTTTACTTTCACGAGGTACTTCGTGTTCCTGACACTCTCGTAGAACGGCTTACAGGAAAAGGGGTAACGTTAGTGAGGATGAGGAGGAGGAAAAGATGGTGGTGGTGGTGGTTGTGATGGAGAAATAGGAGGAAGGGGAGGAGGAGGAAAACTATAGCTAGGGTGTCGGACCTCGTGCTACTCGACCGTAAAATATTTTCAACATTGTGCTACGACACCGTACCAGGAGGAACTGCAATATAGGGTGCTACGAAAAACGTAGTGTACCTCGCGAAAAAGGGACGAGGTGTTTCGAACATGAAAAGAGGAGAAGGGAAAGGAGGAGATCTGGAGGTGAAGGGAAAGGGAACAACCTAGAGTGATTTATTCACCGAATGAATCTTTTATCTTGCCACGTTAGGTTTTAAGGAATCGGTTTAAGCATTTGTCGTATCTTTTTTTCTTCTTCTTCTTCTTTTTACACACATCCTTCCTACCCCCTCCCCTCTTTTTTTTTACTTTCTCTTTTTATTTCTTTTTCCGTGGCCCTTCTCTATCTTCATTTATCCAAGATTCTATTTCCTTTTTCTATCGGTCTCACCTACGTGTTCACCTTTATGCTTTTTTTTTCTTGTCTTCTTTTCTCTTTCATTCGTCTTTCCAGAGCGTTTTTCTTTCCTTCTTCCTTTCTTTCTTTATTTATTTCTTTAGATCCTGATTCCATCGAAGGATAAGTACCGTAAAATAAAATATTCTCGAACGCGTGTACGTCTTCCAGCAACGTTTTCTAGCAGCTGACCTCTTTTATTCCCTTTCCGTTCGATTCCAAACGAAAGAAGAAAATTGGATGACGGGGCGAGAGGAAAAGAATAAAAGTGAGAAAGGAAAATGAGAGAAAGAATAAGAAAAGATGAAGAAGAAGAAGAAGAAGAAACGATTTCTTTGTACTCATTGATAATGAAAGGAAAAAAAATTTAGTTATTTATCTTGTCGTTAACCTTTCCTTTTCTTTTACTTTCCTTCTATTTATTCTTTTTCTATCGAGATCTCATCGAAGTTCGAAATGTACTCATTAGAATTTTCCAATCGACAAGATTAAAGGATATTAAATAATTTCATTTTTATTATTAGTTTACCTTTCTCAATTTTTCTTTCGTGTTTACAAAGATTAATCCAAATGTCACTAATTATTATTCTTAATCTAAAATAAATTATGTTGTTTATGTTACATCAAATTTCATCAACAAACTAAGAATAGTGATCCTTGATTCATGTAAAGCATCAATAGTAGTACGTTAAAGTATTAATAGAAAGGATACTGAGAAACAAACGTATGTAGATTTTTCCTATTAACCCTTAGAGTGCTATAGACGCATATATACGTTTGGTAAAAATTACCAGAGTGGTATATCGACGCATATAAGTGTTTGTTATTATTAATTTAAAATAATTTAATGTTTATATTTAATTGTATAAAATTATATTCAGAAACAAAAACTTTAACTATTAAATATAATTTATTTTGTTTATATTAGGTCCAGTCATAAATAACTTTCGTTTTTTATGAGACAAAGAATAGCGTTTCTGCTAATAATAAGTGCAGGACACTTTTTATGGTGTTTTTTTTTTGCACTCCTTGTATTTGTTTGACGTATCTATTGAATTTTGCTCCAATATTACCTTTAAAAGGTTCGTCAAAGTTAGAAAGACGTCCTGCACTCGGTTCGTCTTTTAAGGTCGTATCTCCAGAACGGAATTTTACAAACCAATTTCCGGCTGCCCTATCAGTTATCAATGCTGCACCGTATACGCTGTATATTTTTTCAGCTACCACTTTAGTGCTATTACCTTGTTTCAATTCTTAAAGCATTACATATCAAATATGCACTTTGGTGGTGCATATGGTGGTGGGCATGCAATGGTTTAGAAAAACGGTTGAATGTAACATTGACTACATAAAAAAGTTAACAGAAGACTAACTGAATTCTCATCTATACAGTGATATCAAAAATTCGTTGGTTTCGGTGACTTATAGTAGGTAAATACGAAAAATAGATTCTACATAGCCGCGTCGGAAGTTACTCATGACTCGACCTAATAATTTATTTCATTAAATATTTATTAATTTATAGTTTATTTTATTAAATATAATTTATTATTAGAATATAATTAATAATAAATTATTCTGTTCCTACAAAACATTTTAGTTAAAAGTATTCAGCACTGAAAGGGTTAAAAATTTGTTTTATAAGCAACAACTTCAAACTAGTATAAATGTTAATTAACCTTTGATTGAACATAGATGTTATGTAGTAGGTCACAGAGATATTTGTATCCTTACATTTAATTTAAAATAATCAATATTTTTTTCTAATACAATATTTAATTAAACTCTTATAGATAGAAACTTATTTTAAGATAATTACATTTTTCAATTGATATTCATTTTATTGCAGAGTAGAGACTGTTAACGAAATATTTTACATGATTGATAAAAGTATTGATATCAATAGATATGACCTAAAAAATATTATAAAATGCAAAGTAAAATGCTATCAAGAATTATTTACAAAAATAATCATTGTATTTTTATTATATCTTGCATAAATACAATTAGTCTTGTTAGACTAATATTTTTATCAATTAAATAAAATTATAATTCATTAACAATAAATTATTTTACTGTGCAAATAAAATTAATATCAATTTAAAAGATTAATTATCCGATTAAAATATTGATATCAGTAGACATGCCCTTGGAAAAAATATTATAAAATAAAAAGTAAAATGCAATCAAGTATCATTTACCAAAATAATTATTGTATTTTTATTATATTTTACGTAAGTACAATTAATATTTTTATCAATTAAATAAAATTATATAATTCTCTAACAATAAATCATTTTATTGTGCAAATATTATTGCACAGTAGACATGCCCTTCTAAAAAATATTATAAAATGCAAAGTAAAATGCAATCAAGTATCATTTACAAAAATAATCACTGTATTTTTATTATACCTTACGTGAGTACAATTAATATTTTTATCAATTAAATAAAATTATATAATTCTCTAACAATAAATCATTTTATTGTGCAAATAAAATTAATATCAATTTAAAAGTATAATTAATTTTAAAATAAGTTTATATGTATAAGAATTTAAAAATGTTGTATTACAAACAAATATCTATTATTTAAAATTTACAGTAAAAGCTACTACAAATATTCTTATGACACAGTGTATATACTAACTGCTACTACTATTACCATAATAATTTCGTAATTTCCAAACAATAAATTATTTTACTGTATAAATAAAATTAATATTAATTGAAAAGTCTCATTATACTTAAAATAAGTTTATGTGTATAAAAATTTAAAAATTTTGTTTTACAAACAAGTGGACCGTTTATTTTGAAAATGGTGTTAGTCAATATTTTTAAAAATATGAGATATCACGAAATTTATGTTTAATTTAATGTAAACTTTGTGTGTGTGTGTGTGTGTGTGTGGATAACTAGTTAATATTTAATTTCTTAAAAAGTGCCCATGTTTTGTATAATTTAAAATTCGTCTGTAAAAGAAATTGAGTAATCATTGATATGCTAATCTTTAATTTTCTCGAAACATGAAAAAGTGAACTTACACCACTTTCAAAATAAACTGTCCAAATATCTATTATTTAAAATTTACAGTAAAAGCAAGTGTGAATATTCGTGTGACACACTGTATATACTAACTACTACTACTATTACATATTACAACGCGAGTGCACAGATAGCAATAATGGATATAAATCACGCGGATAATAACGACGAGGTCTATGCGATCAAACGCGAAATAGCTCTCTGGAGTCCAGTACTATATATGCATATATATTAAACCTGTGTGTGTGTGTGTGCATGTGTATATATATACATGTAAAATCAAGCTTTTTGTAAAATCGTTCGAGTTCGCGGCTGCGTTTAATGTCCGCGATTTGTTAGATTACGATATAGTTCATCGTTAGGTGAACTACTCGTTCGTAACTATAAAACCTAAAACGATGTTAATAATGATATCGATAGAAAATTAATATAGTTAAGTTAAACAAAAAATTACATTTTTATTTCACTTAAGATATCTTCTTATAAATAATTGAGTTTTTAATTTTGTTATATTGTTTTTTTTCACTCGCAATGTATTTTTGTTTCTGATAACACATTGGGTACAAGTCACGAGAATTCTCTTTTTAATCCTTGAGTGTGTGTGAAAAGTAATTTGATTAATCTGTATAAATGTGATTTAAAATAAATAATGAATATTCGTAGATATATTTAAAAGAATTTATAAATATAAATGAAAAAAGTGGTTCTGTGGATTACAGTAAGTTTTCCGGCTCATCTAAAAATAGGCAAACTTTAAAAACACATTGAATGAACAGAACACTATACGTGTTAAGTAAAGTGTTAACTATGTTTGTTTATTACTAAAGCAATTAGTATTATTATTTAATTTTTAATTTAATTTAATTAAAAATATTTAATAATCCTTATTATAATATTATACACATTTAATGTATCTTATAAATATTATATTTTTAATTTTTAATTTATTATTATACTAATTATTTATTATATTAATAAATTATTAGTTATATTAATATAACTAATAAATTATTATTATATAATTATATAATTACTAATAGTAATATATAATAATACAAGTAATAATATACTAGTAATATATTATTACTAATAGTATAATAATTTATTAATTAAAATAATTATATTAATAATATTAATATAATAATATATATATATATATATATAATTACTAATAGTATAATGATTTATTAATTATATTAATTATATTATTTATATTAACTATATTAATAATATTAATATAATTATATATATAATTACTAATAGTAATATATAATAATATAAGTAATAATATATTAGTAATATTATGCTACTAATAGTATAATAATTTATTAATAGTATAATAATAATTATTATTAATATAATTAATAAATTATTATACTATTAATAAATAATTAGTATTAATACTAATTATCTAATTTATTATTATAAAAATTCATAATTTATTATTATACTCTCGAATTTATGTTTTTTTTTTTATAATTTAAAAATAATCGTCTTTTAACTTTCTTTTTTATGAGTTCAAGGCACGTCTTAATTAACATCATCTCTCATACTTAGAATCGTTACTATCAAACATATTAAAAACTTAAAAATAATCATATATATAGATATATATTTAAAATTTAATTTATATATTATATATTTCTTTATTATAATATAATGGATATCTCATTGTTTCTGGAAAGACATTGATTGAAATAAATTTGGAATAAAATGTTGAAATTGAGAATTGACTGTAACGTTAGACGTATTTTAGACATTCCAATTAAAGATTTCTGTCGTGTCAGCTAAAATAAGAGAGATTTCATTATAAAGAAATGTCTCGTATATTTTCTTACTGACATAGAAAAATTCTATATTCATATGATTTTCATCTTTTCTTATAACAAAAGAAATAACTTTGGTATTGTCACACGGTGTTAGATAAATGTGTTATCTGTGTTTTCAGTAACGAGTATCGAAGGTCCACATCTGGAAATAACGGGTGTCAGTCGTCTCCACATGGGACCATACTTGTGCATAGCATCGAACGGAGTACCCCCAACCGTCAGCAAGAGAATCGTTCTCATTGTTCACTGTACGTACCGAAACGACTAGTCCAAGTCTTCTCTTCATTCAACATTTCTTACTTTTCTTCATCTACCATTGCTCTCTTTCTCTATTTCTCTTTCTCTCTCATTCTTTTTCTTTCTTTCCTCTTTCTCTCTTGGTTTCAAAGGCAATTTAAAAGCCCGACAACGTGAGCCGCGAATCTCTCTCGAGTAACGTAGCTCGTAATGACGGCACTTGGGGCAGACGCCACAGTGTGAATGGCTGATCCAAAGAAGGAGCATTGTTTCCTCGGTTAGCTTGAAGAACCATCTTCTAAAATTCTTCCAACCTCCAGGCGAGATTCCGACGTGCAATGTCACCAACCAGCTTGTTCGCTTAAAGACACTCAAAAGACTACTCGTTTCCTCTCTCTCTCTCTCTCTCTCTTTCTCTCTCTCTCTCTCTTTCTTAGTCTTAAACGTATTTTCCTTCATTTTAATAGATAATAACTTTTCATGACCATTTTTGAAACCAAGAGATTTTCATTATCTTCTTATTCTTCTTATTCTTCTTCTTTTGTAATCATAATCAACATCGTTATCATTTCATTTACTTTTCATGCAGTTCCACCTATGGTTTGGATCGAAAAACAATTGGTTGGTGCATACGAAGGGAAAAGACTTGTTCTTGAATGTCAAAGTGAGGCATATCCCAGACCGATAAGTTATTGGACTAGGCCAACTAATGAAACTATCGCTAATGGTGAGTTGTGAACAATAAGATTAGTAAAATATGATAATGGAATTTTTTCGGAATTCATATCGATTGTCAATTAATGCAAAATTACGTGAGCTTTTTTACCTGCTGAGTAATAGTCTATTTTTTTTATATATATCTACTAGGATGAATTAACCACGCGTTGCTGTGGTTTTATTATAAAATGTTGATTTATTATAATTTTAAATTATTTAATGCAATCATATTAATATAATATTAATATAAATATATATTATATTTATATTATTAATATAAATATAATATTATAATAAAATATAAATAATTATATTAATATTATAATTTAATATTAATATAGTTTATATTAATTATTATAAAATAATATAATTTATATTAATATTATATTAATATAAATATAAATAATTTCTGGGAACTTTAATTAGGTGTAAAACAACATAAATTTTTAATATTATTAATAAAATTAAATTTAATATTAAAATTTATATAATTAAAATTTAATTTATTATTTAATTATTTAATTTATGTATTAAAAATTTAATATATATAAATTTTAATATATAATAAATATAATACAATATAATAATATATAATATTATTATATTATTATATTTGGTTATTTATATAACAACACATAAGATATTAATACATAATATAATAAATATAATAAATATATAATATATTTAATAAAATAATAAAGAAATATTTAATATACCTAAATAATATAATAAAAGAATAAATAAAATAATAATACACAAAGAAATAAAAAAAGTAAAGTAATGATATATGTAAATTGAAATAACTGAAATGTAATACAGCTCCACCTATTAAAAACTTACAGTACCTAACGACCCAGATAACCTCTATATAATAAATCTTTAAATTAGCAATAAAAAATAATAATAATAGAGATCAAAACTATCTTTTGATAGTTTATTAGATTTAGTTTTGAACTTTATTTTAAACTAACAATGTAACACTGAATTTTTATATATACAGATTTTTTCTACGTAACATATCCTTTATATTTAATCTAAAATTACTAACTACAGATCATCTTTTTTAATTAAAAAATTTACTATCGTGAATTTACGTGATATTACTTCATAAGAAAAATCAATAATAACGTGTGAAAGCATTAACAAAATAATTGCATCCTAAATTTGATGTTTCTCATTAAATCAAAATAATTCAGATCAACATAAGTTCTAGTTTAATAATTTTTAACTTAACATAAATGATGAGTTTTTAGATAGATAATTTTATTACGATAAATTAGAAATAATAAATTTTCATTTAATTTTATTCCACGTTTTATCGATTTATAGAATAACGACCAATTCTCTTTCCTTTCTGTATAAACAATTTAAATGTTATTTTATTATTACTACACACCAATTATCAATCGGCAAAATAGACTAGTTTATCGAGAACTTGTTACAGAAACTCGTTGATTAATAATAAATGAGAAATTTTGTTTTATTTTATTTTAGCATCATTTTCATTCTCTCTCTCTCTCTCTCTCTCTCTCTCTCTCTCTCTTTCTCTCCCTTTCTCTTTTTTTGTTGTCTTCAACAACGTTTGAGGGAAGATACGTCTCGTGGTAAAACGCTCACACGAGTGTCGCTAATGTGGCTCGCTCTAATTACACACTGCACCAACATAAAGACTTTGCCGTAATTGCATCCAAGCGCCTTTGCGATAACAGCCAGAGGTTAAGGGCAAGTGAAACAGCGTTATACGTTAAGACCCTCTAAGATTACATTCCATTTCTCTTATTGACAATAATTGAATTATTTCATAAGAACCAGAAAGAGTATTAGAGAGAGAGAGAGAGAGAGAGAGAGAGAGAGAGAGAAAGAATAGGTACTTCTCACTTTGCTATCTTTTCTAAATTATAGAAACTTGAAGAATCCATTATCCTGTGACACACTTTTACATTTTATTATATAATTACGATTTTAATGATTTCACGTTTAATAATTTTTCTTCTTTTTTTCTTCTTCTCGAAATTCGAAAATCCATTAGACCGACTTTACTTTGTTTCCTTCTATTTTATTTTTATTTTTTTTTATTTTTTAATTAATCAAAGTTTTAATATTATTTGTACTTTTATTTTTCCTTTGTTTTTGTTTTTTAAATACGCGCGTGTTTTATAATGTTTTTTTCTTTTTTTTAATAATATCAAAAAAATCGTTTTTCATCGCGTCAAAATGACACTCGGGCATGGCAAAGAAAAATTGAGTGAACCTATTTTTTTTTGGCCTTGTTTCTTTTTCCCCTCTAGCTTTTTATAAACGGAACGAGAAGAAAAATGTAAACTTTAGTTAACTATAGGCGTTAGTGAAGCACTACTATGTATTTCGATTATTCGTAGTTACCAGCAAGTGCTTGTCCTCGTAGCTATTTCGCGGATCACTGCTATATAACAAATTAGCTTTTTAACGAGCGGCAAACGTAATTACATCGGCACGAAGTTATACGATTTAAATGCTCACGAACGAAGAAGTGCCATCGGGCGTCCGTTCGGTCGTAAACTTGTCCTCTTCTTCTATCTCTCTCTCTCTCTCTCTCTCTCTCTCTCTCT